ATGTGCATATTAACGCATCATGTATATAGGTGGCGCTGACGCACGCGCGGCGCTTACATGTAGAGGTCGCGACCGAAACCAAAATCGAAGCCCTTCTCTGACGTAGGTGGCGCTGTAGGCACGGACGTGTTTCTCTGGATCACCACGGTTACGTTGGTGGCGCCACTGCGGTCGGGCTGACTCGGGTTGAAGGCTTCGACGCCAACCTATAGAGATGACGTGAGGGGTAATGATCAGTGCGAAACCATTCCCTGAGATGCGGTTATACTCAGTAATAAGTTACAACAGAGCAACTCTATATACAGTCACAGTAAGAGAGACATGAGAAAGGAGGAGGCCACCGTGAGAATGAAGGGGTCATCCTTAGAAAGAAGGAGGCTACTTTAAGAAAGAACGTGGAATTCTGGGAAGGAAGGAGGCCACTTTAAGAAAGAACGTGGCATTCTGGGAAGGAGGGAGGCCACTTTAAGAAAGAACGTGGCATTCTGGGAAGGAAGGAGGCCACTTTAGGAAAGAAGGAGGCATCCGAAGAGATACTGAAGCATCCTTACAAAGAAGGAGGCCACTTTAGGAAAGAAGGAGGCATCCGGAGAGACAATAAGGCATCCCGAGAAAGGAGGAGGCCACTTTAGGAAAGAAGGAGGCATCCGAAGAGATACTGAAGCATCCCGAAAAAGAAGGAGGCCACTTTAGGAAAGAGGGAGGCCACTTTAGGAAAGAGGGAGGCCACTTTAGGAAAGAGGGAGGCCACTTTAGGAAAGAAGGAGGCATCCGAAGAGATACTGAAGCATCCTTAGAAAGAAGGAAGCCACATTAAAAAAGAAAGAAGCATCCGGAGAAATAATAAGGCATCCCGAGAAAGGAGTAGGCCACTTTAAGAAAGAAGGAGAGACCCTTAGAATGAAGGAGGCCACTTTAAGAAAGAAGGAGGCACCCTGAGAAAGAAGGAAACCACTTTAAGAAAGAACGAGGCATCCTGGGAAGGAAGGAGACCACTTTGAGAAAGAAGGAGGCATCCGGAGAGATACTGAAGCATCCTTAGAAAGAAGGAGGCCACTTTAAAAAAGAAAGAGGCATCCGGAGAAATAATAAGGCATCCTGAAAAAGAAGGAGGCCACTTTAAGAAAGAACGTGGCATCCTGGGAAGGAAGGAGGCTACTTTAATAAAGAAGGAGGCCACTTTAATAAAGAAGGAGGCCACTTTAATAAAGAAAGAGGCCACTTTAATAAAGAAGGAGGCCACTTTAATAAAGAAGGAGGCCACTTTAAGAAGAAAGGAGGCATCCGGAGAAATAATGAGGTATCCTTATAAAGAAGATGCCGTCACTCACAGTGTACGTGCCAGCACTTCTGTCATTGAGCAGCGAGTCCTTGGTGACGATGGCGCCATCGCTGAGCATGTAGAAGTAGTCAGGGGCGTGGCCGTAACCTGTGATCCTATACTCCACCCTGCTGTTATGCTCCTGCGAATGCGAGCAAATCAGTAGCCATGGTGATATCTTAATAACTGTATCAAATGATCAAATCACATCAATACATTTTGATGCAAGAAGAAGAAGTAGTAGTAGTAGTAGTAGTAGTAGTAGTAGTAGTAGTAGTAGTAGTAGTAGTAGTAGTAGCAGCAGCAGCAGCAGCAGTAGCAGCAGCAGTAGCAGTAGCAGTAGCAGTAGCAGTAGCAGTAGCAGCAGCAGCAGCAGCAATAGCAGCAGCAGCAATAATAGCAACAGCAGTAGCAGCAGCAGTAGCATCATCATCATCATCATCATCATCATCAGCAGCAGCAGCATCGGCAGCACACATTTCCCATACCAAGCAATTACGGTGTCGGTTAATCATGTTGAGCTGCACCAGGCGGCGCTGCACTCACCGTCCTGTCCGCGTCGTCTGCGGAGACGCGCGTCACCAGCGTGCCGACAGGTGACGCCTCCGTCACGTAGACGACGTAGAACGTCTGTGAGAACGCGGGCGTGAAGTCGTTCTCGTCCTGCGAGACATAAGAAGCAGCCGATCGTCATTCACAGCTGTACACATAACACAGATATAACACATACACAACTACCATGTACGCACATAATACAGACATCACACAGATACACACATGTACGCACATAATACACAGATATAACACATCTACACACATGTACACACATAATACAAATATTACACAGATACACCCATGTACACACATAATACAGACATCACACATATACACGCGTTTACACACATAATACAGATATTACACATATACACACATGTACACACATAATAGAGATATAACACATCTGCACACATGTACACACATAATACAGATATAATACATATACACACATGTACACATATAATACAGCTATAACACAGGCACACAGCTACACACATAACACAGGTATAACCTACGTATATACGTTACGGTTGTCATACGTCGCCCAACTCGATGGTTGCCATGACAATGATGCCCCATACAGTATCGGGACTGTGATATTGACTTACGTGGTTGCCATGCCAACAACGCCCCCATACACAATCACCCCGAGTGTGGTGTAGACCTACGTGGTTGCCATGCCAACAACGCCCCCATACACAA